AACGACATCGTACGTGTGCAATGGATGATGAATTTACCTTCATATATATAATTCTTTCGCTCTTTCTCTCTCTCTCTCTCTCTCTCTCTCTCTCTCTCATTCGCTCGCTCTCGCTCTCGCACTCTCATTCAATCACTCTTTTTCTCTCGCGTGTTTAGATTTCCAACATTTGCAACGACTTTAACGATTACCAACAAGTGTTGTGCTACGCGGATGAAACCATGCGAGTGTTCAAGGAATTGTTGTTCTTATGGGCCCGACGCGTAAAAAGTAGGATTTTCCTGGGCGAACGTTGCCATAGAAACGACACGATGGCGTCCAAGCTACGACATATACGCGGGCTACATGTCGAATTTTCTATTTTTTCGTTCTACCTTGTTTTCTAGCGCGTGGGACATTCCATTCCGGATCAAGATTTCAAGCGCACCCGGTGAGCATATTTTCCAGCACAATTGAAAATTGTGTTTAATTTTCAGTCAGTTTCTAAAATAGATTTCACCGAATAAGTTTAAAACACTTGTATGATTTTAGATTTCTTTTTAAAGATTTTAATGGAAGAATGAAAGGATAGGAATGTTTGTATTCGCGGACGGAATTTCAACATATAATGCTAAGTCGAACAATTTTGTAAAAATATTCTTAAATTTGTCATTTACAATATTGTCCATTCGATGAAATTTTTTAGTCATTATATTGTTTTATAATACAAAAGATTCAATTACATTAGACTAATTAAATAATTTTCCCACTATTATTTTCTACATGTAAAATTTTCATCTTACATCATTCAACGTTCAATTATTTTTAATATTAAGAATACCAGATCAAAAACAATTTATTTATATAATAATGAATAAAATTACTTTACTTTATCTATTAAATGAAAATACTTATAACGAATCTAATTTACACTAATTTTTAAATAAACAAAATTAAATTGCATCAAATAAAGTATAGCAATTTATTTTAATTGTCTAAATTCCATTCGCTTAACTGACTTACTGATAATACAAAATATAATTCCTTACATTAAAATAAATACACGTACATTTTACATATATATATATATATATATATATATATATATATATATATATATTACAAAGTAATTATTTATTAATGACAATAGTATTAAAATATGGCCTAACGAATTTCATGCCCAAACTTTAGCGCGTATGTCAAATATCTAATGATATATGTCAAATATTTCGTTTATAAACAATTCTCTTGCTGCCTTGAACACGAAGCTTAAACTAAGCTGTCGTTTTCATTTTCTATTTTTTTTTCTCCAAAATTATGAAACAAAATGTTATTAATTATTTTATATTGTTAACTTATATTTTTTTGTAATTTTTCATTCCGACTAGCAAATATGTAAATATGGTTGAGCATTTACTCGATATATTTGTAATTTACGTTGTTTATTCGGCAAATCTTTACGCGCATTATTAAATAATGACCTTTAGACAAATGAATCATTAAATATGTACGATATTACTAATGAAATTGAAATTTCAAAATTATTGAATGTTATTCTTTATTATTAGATATTTTAAATATAATTTAAAATTCATTCGAAAGAAAACTGTGTAATTTATTAAGGCGTTAACCTCGCGATAAACAGCCAAGAATAAACAAAAAATAATATTTTTATTTAAAATATGATCCCGGTATAATAACAAACATTATTTAAGATCATTGTTCGTAATGATTGGATTACCGATATTATTTATAATAATATTATTATTATATATCTTTTATTACAAATACCTTGTTTATCTAAATGGAAGAAAAAAACTTTTATTGCTTATATACGGGCTATTTGCATTTGATGGAAATATATTAATTTAATTATTACAAATATTAATTATTATTGTGGCAAATTTAGATCTATTCATTTTTTACTTTTTGTACGTGTAAAACTCTACATTAAATAAAACATTCGATTAGTTAATGAATAATATAAATGTTGCGCTATCATAATTAATATCTGTAATATTCACTATTAATATTTGTATCGATTACATGATTTTTATGGTTAATATCGCTCGTAACAAAATATCTGTATACTGTAAAATAGTACGAGTGAATTCATTAAAATGAGCATCCGTAAATCGTAGCTTGGTTTAACAGGAAATTTCTATCACGTTAATAGAATATTTTGAATATTTTAAATACACAATAAAGAAATATTAATTTAATGCTTATAACGAGTCAAAGGATAGAATATACTGATTCAAATGAAATAAAACATAAAGTGTTATAAAATGGATATTCTATCGATTATTTTAATTGTTCGTTAAATTATATTGATTCACCCACGAAAGATTTACTCGAATATTCTAACATGTTTATATTACTAAAGAACGAGTTTTTGATATAAAAGAATTTAAAAAATATGTAATTACTGTCAATAATTTGTACAGAAAAAAAAAATGTTAAAAAATCTATAAATGAATTTTATGTCCTGTATATATTTATTAAAATATTTGATAAATATTGTGATAATTTATAAATTTCATGATATATATATATATATATATATATATATATATAAATTATATTTTAAGTAAACAAATTAATTAATCGTTACAAAGGCGTTGATATTTCACTTTTTATTTCATTTAGTGACTAACAATATAGTAAATAAAATATGAAGAATGTACTTTTTATTCGTATAAAAATTTTTTCATTAGCACATTCAAGTTTTGTAATTTATATTTTTATATAATAGAAATGTATTATATTGATATTGAAGATACCAAAGATAAAATATATATGACGTTCAGTTTTTAAATAAGAATAAACCGACTAAAGTGAACAAAAAAATCTATCGATACAAATATATTTGTCTTTTGTTTCTAATAAAATACTGTTAAAATACATAAAAAATAGTTTTAATATATAAAAAGTTTTTCTCCTTGTATGAACTTTCTATTATTATGTTCTTTGTTACATAATACAAAAATTATCTTATACATGCGTGGATGAAATATTACACATCCGAATGCATATAATAAATTTTTAGCAAAATAGACAATTTTATAATATCAATAGTACATGTATTTTTTTTTTTTTTAACAAACACTACTACACTTTTATGGCTACGTTAATCAACACTTTAGTTCTACTTATTTTACGTAACAATTCAGAAAATTATTACTACAAAGAAGACCGTGAAAAATGAAAATGATAATAATTGCGTGACGCCTGGCTCTTAATTACGATAACACTATTACTACTACTACTACGACTAATAATAATAATAATAATAATAATAATAATAATAATAATAATAATAATAACGTTAGAAATATAGATAGCAATAGCACGGCACTTGAAACATTGTTAAATACATTGATAAATTTAGAATTTTCACAGTATAAATGCATATGTCGATGGCCATCGGCCCATTAAACGAATACAATGAATTTACAATAAATCTGATAAGTTAATAAATAGCGAATTAACGGTAAGGTTCAATTTATTGTATTACAGTAGTTGGCCCACTTATCTTACCTATGCACAGTTACTTTAATAATAATAATACTCGTGTCACAGTCGCATCAGTAAGTTAGGTAATATAATTACTTCTTTTTTCTTTAGAAAGTATGAAACATTAAGCTTGATATTATATTCTATTAAATAAGAGAAATATCTCAGAAAATTTGTAAAAATACACTTGTTGTTACCACAAATTCTAAATTCTTAATGATAATTTGTTTAGACTAAATAATTAACTTCCCAATATGTTATTCCTTAGAATGTATTTATTGTATTCGGGACAGACATTTAATAAGCATGGATTTTCCGCTCGACATTCTTATGATAGTCGAGGTATATGTGACAGTATAATTAATTTATTAAGTAATTTCTTATTGCTACGCTATAAATAGTAGGTATGAGGCAAAATTTATAAATCGTCCGCGTTACTTTTCTATTTTTGAATATCGAACGCTAATGATTATATGTTTAAAACAGTCCATCCACGCATCGAAGACAAACGTAAGAAATATAATTACTTTAAAAGGGACACTATTAAATTTTTATTACCATAAGCAATGAATTCCATTACACGACAATGAACTCTGTGCTCGCATAAATGTTTTCACGATTGTTAAATCATTAAGCTTACCGTTACAAATGGCTTAGCTACGGGTACTTAGTAAATTCCATAATTCGACCTCAAAAAATCAATATTTAAAATGAGAGATCTTCCGACTGGAGCAAACGTAGGTACGGAATAATCCACGCTTAGTCAATGGGGGTAACGACGATCCTTTGCCGTAAACGCAAAATTTCAGGTTACGAAAGGCCTCGAAGGAATAAGCTTTACCATATTTATCATAGCATATCTCTCTCTCTCTCTCTCTCTCTCTCTCACACACACACACTCTCTCTCTCTCTCTCTTCATCCACTAGCGTCACGCTGAGATTTATCATTTAGTTTCGAACAAAAGGCTTACAAGTCGAGGGACGAGGAGCGCAAGGTGCATAGACGATGACCGAATAAAAGTTTTGAGTTCTCGGCGCTTAGTCAGCGAGAAAACTCATGGCTCGACTGCAGCCGTGGAAAACGTCGTGGACGAAGCACGTGTTTCGTCGTGAATAATAAGCGCAAGACCTCGCCGAGTTCTCACGGGCCCAGCCTCTCCAAAGCAATGTGGAATCGTCGGGCGGTTGGGCGGACTGGACGCGCGATACGTGCGCGCGTGGGTTTGGATGTGGGTGCGGGCGCGGGTGCGCGAGGGCCGGTGTATCAGGTGACCGGGTAAGGTGATGGGATTAATGATAGTAGTGGTAGTGGTAGTAGTATTAGTAGTAGTAGTAGTAGTTGTTGTTGTAGTAGTACTAGTAGCAACAGTAGTAGTAGCAGTAGTAGTAGTGGTAGTAGTGGTAGTAGTAGTAGTGGTAGTAGTAGTAGTAGTTGTTGTTGTTGTCGTAGTAGAGGTGCCGCGCCTTGTCGAGAACGAAGTGGGACTGAGAGAAGCGGGACTCACTTGGCTCTTATGGCGGTGCTCGTATCTCGCGTTGGTCCCACGACTCAACAGAGGCTTCGAAGGCGCCTTCGCGCGTCCTATCGGCTTCGACAGCCTGGCTGCATCACCGTGGAGTATCGCGGTTCCGCGCGCACCAACTCCGAGACGCGACTCCGAGACGTGATCCTCCTGTGGTAAACTCACTGGCACCTTGTGCGCGACGCCGAGGTTCGTGGCACTGCCGCCGTCTATTCCGCGTCGTGAGAGGATACGCGGCGGCCCCAAGTTGAAAGGCCCCGTGAGTCCCGTATGGTGGGGACTGGCCGATGAAGGCGGGTGGGGGGGACCGAGGCCCCTTTAACGCTGCGGACGTTTGGCTTTGATTGTGCCGGGCGGCTTTCTAAATCGAGCGCCTCCGCGCGGATGTGCCGGAGGGCGGAAGCTGCCGTCGATACGCTCATTGACCAGCTAAGGAAAATGTGGCCCGACTTCAACGAAAGTCCGTCTCTTTGGCTTGGGATGACGACTGTACACGTAACGCGGCACGGAGATCGTACAATTATCTTTTGGCTTCTTATCTGCTCGCGCACGACTTGCTATCGTTCGGATGAGTCGCGCGCGCGTCGCCAATAATTTTCGTCAATTTAAGAAATCACGCCAGGATGTTCGGCATTCGCTGATCGTCCGATAAGACGATCGATCGGTCGGCTTTTCGTCTACTGGAATTGTCGACATGCTTATTCGTAAGTGCCATTCGATTTGCCGCGAATTAATCTTGTTTGTCGTACGGAAGATTATACCGTAGCATTGGATGGGGATACGGTTGGGTGATGGGGAGGGGAGTAGTAAAAGGCGCTAAAGCAGATGAATCACATGCGAAGAGTATTGAAATCGAATGGGACATAAAATTAATGCAAGAGAAATCTTTCGAAGCTGATGTTTTATTTATTATAAAGCAAGCACTTAATCTCACTTAATGTTGTAAATTAAATAATTAAAAAATCCTATATAAACGTTGTGAATGTAAAATGATGGGAAATGCTTTATTTAAAGTAAAACTTTATTGTATTACGTACTTTGTGCTTTATATTGTATGACAACAATTTAAATGAACGGTTATTGAAAGAACGAGCTATGAACTTGTGAACTTGCTTAGTTTTTATGGAAACTTATTACTCGGTTAGAATATTATGCAATTTTAACGGTAGGCAACATTTTATTTTTCTTCATAATTCGATAATACTCTATAAAGTAACGCCTGCGTTGGTTAATCTTCTTTTAGATAATAACGTTTCAGTACTTGAATCTAGTAACGCGAAAACACATTCATTCGAAGAATCTGATTAGCGTATAATTGAAATCGTCGAATATATATTTGAAAACACAAGAAAGAAAAAAGAAGGAAAGCAAAACAAAAACGAAAAAAAAAAGAATGAAACGTTAAGAGCATTAATATTCGTTCATCAACGTTCATTAATATTATAATTTTATCCAACGTATTAACGATGAAGTTATTAAATTTCTTTTCGAAATTCTTTATAGCAATTGTATAAGCATTAGCACCAATTAACTTTATATATCTGCTTCTAATTTATTAATGATATATCATACTTTTTTTCTTTTCTTCTTCTTCTTCTCTCTCTCTCTCTCTCTCTCTCTCTCTCTCTCTCTCTCTCTCTCTCTTTTTTTTTTTTTTTTTTTTTTTATTTTTTTTTTATTCAGCTATTAACACAAATGCATAATATCGAATTCTGTCGCGTGTTTTTATAACACAAGTGCATACATTGTATGATGAAATGTAAACTGCGCGTGATTATGCTATTAAATAAGTAGCTTTCGCTGCGCGTATGCTGATGCATAATGTTATAGGCCATTTCTATAATACATGCCAACGTTAAATTAAGAGCAAATATCATTCGCACATAATTTCACGACAGCATCAACTACTGAAATTCAATAGCTCTATGTAACTAATTGGCCAAATTGTCTGTAATTCCCTGTATATTCCTTGTATAAATTGCTGATAAACAAGAGTAGGCTTGTTCCGTTGGGCTCAGTTACGTCGAAACTCGACCTTAAGCTAAGGTTCGCCCGTCAATCGATCACGATCAACCAGTCGATCACAAAGACTAGCAAATAATCAAAGGTGAGCGCGCACAGTCTTTCGATAATCTGACTGGCTATTCTCAAGAAAACTCCAAATAAAATGCATCAATCCAGTGACAAAATAATTCTGGATATCGTTCACTGTTCCATAAAGATCGGATACGGGTATTGCAAGATGTCGATTTTTCCTAGCCGACGAAGAACAGTGATACTTCATGGACACACGGCCGTTACAGCTGGAGAAAAAAGTCGGAGAGAGTGCGAGGGACGCAACTCGGCGTACAACGTGTGCGGCGAGTGGCGGTAAATAAGGGGTAACGAGCGGCAGCGGCGAGGGATGGAGGAGAGGTAGAGGAAAAGAGTGCGCACGCTTCTGCAGAAGATGGATCGAGAGAGAGAGAGAGAGAGAGAGAGAGAGAGAGAGAGAGAGAGAGAGATCCAATGCTGGATCGGGCTAAGAGAGTCGGTCGGGATACCGCACCGAGAGGAATCAGAGGACTCATGTTTGTTAAAACCTTACGTAAGGACGCCCGTAAGAATTCGCGTCGCGTTTTATTGCGTATTAGACAGAAGCTTCTCGCTCGTGGGGATTATGGGCGCAGGTGAAGTCAAGCGCCACTTTCGTAGGCGAGTGCCGTTCGAGTGGACAGGTACTCCTTCGCGTGCTCGAATTCTCCGCGATGCCTAATCGCTAGTCGCTGTGATTGAAATGAATGGTTTCGTTTTCTTTTGCGATTAAAGCTGAGACAAGAGCCTTCAATGAAACTGTAATTAATTAAAATATAATTAATTAATTGAGGACGGTAATGTGGCTTATTATGTAATGTATTTTGCACACATGGATTTTTGCAGCCGCTCGCTATTGTATTGTCGGTCTTTTATATAATAAATGTGATGACGTAATCGTTATATACAATATTCGAAAAATAAATTGACTTATAAAATACATTTCAATCTTATCGTTTGCACGAAATGAAAGTTTTTGCATCTAATTTTATTTATTTTCTCTCTAATTTAACAGGTGTATCTGACAGTACGTAATACAATAGTAAATCTTCAAATCCGTGTTATTTATAATTAAGTGTAGGAGATATTAACAATCTTATCTGTTCTTAATGATCTGTAAATGAAAAAGAGAATAACGAAGCTAAATAATAATAATAATAATAATAATAATAATAATAATAATGACAACAACGACAACAACAACAACGACAACAACGACAACAACAACAACAACAACAACAACAATAACGGTATATTCAATGTATTATTAAAGATTTTTTGGAGAAATGGAAAAATATCGATATCAAAATATATAGCCATGGTTGATTAGGATTAAGCCTCGATACTAAGAAATTATTTAGCTGATACGCAACTTATCCAGTGCAACATTTTCAAAACTTAAGTAGGTCAGATTGAGCAATCGATACAATCGAGCATTCCTATAAAGAATACATAATTCTATTAATGATACAAATATTTATGAACTTAAAAGAATCGATAACGTCTATATGTTTTTTACAACCATTTCATTTTGTAGGATAATAATTTAAATATAATAATTTTAAGATTATTTATCGATTAAAGGTATATCCTAAGAATTTTAATGTGATTGTGAAAATGGCGTTTGCATAGCACAGTGTCATGGGTGCAATGTATAAAATATATTATGGTGTATACAATTTGAGAATTATACATACAATTTTAATATACTCGGTATGATCTTGAATAATTACAAAATAAAAATCTACTTGGAAATAAGAGACTATTAATTATAATAACGATTCATTAGTTTCAAAAAGAATTTTATTTCAATTGTTGAAAAAAATTGTCCTTAAATTTATTATTATTAACATATTTTATCGAGCTTTCTTTTTTATTCAAATATTGGAGATTAAAAATATTAAGATTCAGATTGGATATATTAATTATATATTGTTATTATTGTTGCACAGTGAAGAGAAAACTTGTATTATGATAGCAATGAAAAGAAAAACCATGTTTTGCGGAAAGCTAAACGGAGTCTTTATTTTCAAGATAAGAAAATTACAAACGAAATAGAAAAGAACTGTAAAGCCAATTAATTTGGAAGTTAAATTATTCAGAGTTGTCGAGCGACTAAGTCACCGAGTGGATATTCGCAATGTGCTCTCCCATCACAATAACAAAATCTTGTGAGTTCCAAGAACGTGCGATCAATACTTATAATTGGCTAAAATAGAGAAACAACTGATTATTTAACGTACCATTAAGGTTATAATATCGATAATGCCTGCTTCATCTCGCCATATGACGTTCGGAATGACTTATCCTTTGAATCAATTAAATTAGGATTTAGTCAAAGGGACATTGGGATTTTGTAATAAGGCGGACACTTTGGAATTTTCAAAAAATTTTGAAAACTTTCCGTCTCGTCGCACTATATGAATGCAATTATTAGTACAAATTATGAATATATTATTGTTGGAATAATTTTCCAACCCATTTATTTAACGCAAAATTCTAAACCAAATAGAAATAAAAACGTTTATCTCCGAATTAACATCTCAAATCCATTTAGACAGAGAAACCATATTTTACGCAATTTTAGAAACCATTAAAATTACCATTAAAATTTATAACCGATATTTTTTTATCGTAAAAAAATTATTATTGTTGTTGCTGTTGTTGTTGTTGTTGTCATAATTATTATTTTTTTTTTTTCCAATGTAAACAAACAATCGAATGCTTTTATATCCCAACATCAAATTTTTTAATGAAGTAGTAATTCGTTTAATATTGAAGTTTTAAGCTTTGCATCGATGGCTACTTCATTAATCCATATATAAATAATATGTTTATTTAATTATAGCAGCATTAATAGATACAGCAGGTGCTGTACCTACTGATAACAGAATAATAAGCAAGCGTTCATGTCCAAGTAGCGACCAAGCAATAAATAACTATTCTTCCTCGTTCGAGGGAAATCACATTTACTACTTTTCATTTTAATGAAGAATTAAGCTGACGAATGTAATGTCATTGGAATAAAGATAACTGGGTAAACGAAGGAAATTTGAATTTGGCACCGATACATTGCGAAATAGAATACAAGACATCGAAAGCCGACTTACCATTTATGCATTCGGCTGCTTTTTCAAGTA